CCTGTCTGCCTATGGAGAGTGCCCTTTGGCAATTAGTGACTAAAGCCCAGGAAGTAAAACCAATTTATGTTGGTTCAAAAGCATTCACTTGCAATTAAGACACACATTACTAATTTACAGAATTCTTATCCTAAAATACAGATTCAAAAGGGAGAACAAAAACACCCCAAATTATAAGCATGCAGTTAACTAATAGGTTACTTTATTTATAAGAGCCTTTTAGCTTCTCTATAAAAAGGTCAAATGCCATAAAGTGAAGGAGCAAAAAATGGCCCTCCACATCAAGTGGGAAGGTGTGGAGTGTGTGAACAGGCATTAATATGACCTTCACACAAAGGTGATAATGGCTCTTAAAAAACTGGGATTTAAGAGACTCTAGTTAACTCCTCTGAGATTAAGCAGTCTAATTTGCATGATGAGATGCTGGGCTATCTACATCTCTCAGGTTTCATTCAGCCCAAAGACACCATGAGCATCATTATTACATAAACCAATATAAAACATCCTTAATATACTAAGGATTCACTTATACTTTATATTAAAAAAGAAAAAACACACTTCTCATATGTAGCTAGTGATCTGTAAAGTACCTTAATTAAGAGATACACAATGTAGTTGCCACCTATGTTCTCTGATACAAGTATTACTATCTTAAGAACAGGTATATGCTCAATGCCAAAACATAAAATCAAAATTTAAGCAGCTTTTTTTTTTTTTTGAGGGGTTTTCGCTATAGGGCGGGGGCGCTCTCCAGACAGAGAGAGACAGAGAGACAGAAAGTGAGAAATCACCCCCCAGAGGGGATGGTCACGCCACAATCCCCTCTCCTCCATTCTCCTCTCAGGATCTTGGGCACGCACGTACATGCGCCCGGCGTGAGTTTTAAGCCACCGGGTCCGGGGCGCCAACTGCAGTCGACCACGTGGGAGTCCAGCGACATAGTCATTACGCTAACTGCTGGTTCCCAAAATTTAAGCAGCTTTTAAAAGCAAAGAGTAAAGATTAACTAGCACTCAAATAGAATAGGAAAAAAAGTGGTTAAAAAACACAAAGCAGTGACAATTCTCCCATGTCCCTGCCAACTTCTTTATATGTGATTTCTCTATTAAAACATGTTATTTTACCTCCTTCTAAATAGTCAATCTATGGTTTTTCTGAAACAGATGACTTAAATCTTGGGTGGTACCACGCTCCTGTAACAATCAAAAATAAAATCTACATAACATCAAATTCTTTTCTTGGAGAGGTTTTTGCTATAGGGAACGTGCACTCACCAAAAAGACAGAGAGAGACAGAGAGACAGAAAGCGAGAAATCACCCCCCCCCGGGGGGTGGGGGGGATGGCCAGGTCACAGTCCCTTCTCCAGTCTCCTCTAGGGATCTTGGGCACACACGCATACGCGCTCGGCGTAAGTTTAAGCCATTGGGCCCAGGACTCAAAGCGCGGTTGACTACATGGGAGTCCAGTGACATAGCCATTATGCCAACTGCTGGTCCCAATAACATCAAATTCTGGATGAAAGGTTTTCTAGCTCTGAACATGTGACTTAACATTCAGAACTGAAAGGTCTGAGATCAACTAGACCACTTTTTACTTAAGTACGAAACTCTTGTTCAAACGAAACCCTGTACTTAAAAACTCAGTATGCAAAACCAAATGGAAATAAGTATTCAACAGGATGGGGAATTCTAATTCTCCTGGTCCAGCACTATCCCTTCCCACACCACTAAAAATTAGAAAATGATGAATGTAGCAAAATACTGTTTTCATTTTATAAAGGAAACTAAAAGTCACATAGAGTTCAACAGACAAGCTCTAAATTACCTAATCGATACCAAAAAGTAGATCTAGAGCTCAAACTTCCAACACCTATCTAGTTAAACACTCTTTTCCCTATATATCCTGTTTCTTTACAGAAATTGTTAGTTCAGTCCAGTGACATAGAGTTGTAACAGAAACAGCGAATTTAGGTGAGCTCCCACATGTCAATTCATGGAGCCCAAGGATTTAAGATTCTTAAAATACCAAGCAATTGGATGCCATCCTCTCAACCTTGCCTTTTACACTAGATGCTATGCTTCTACTTAACAAAGGGTTCCTCAAATTATATAGGAAGGACTCTTTTAGACAGGTCAGCTATGCAGGCCATGTAATATTCAGCCCTTGTTTTAGGATGTCCCAAAGCAAATCAGCGAAATCTATACATTCAAATTAGTGCCAACACACTTTTAAAACAACGGAGGGGCCAGCAGATGGCATGGTGGTTAAAAGTGCTTGATTTCCACACAGTAGACCATGATTCGAGTCCCGGACCTGGTGGCTTGCTCTCTCACTTTCCCTTTCTGTCTGGTTAAATTAAAATAATAAGAACAAATGGAATTAAATAATTAAAAACAAACCAAAAAAATGGATGACACATATGCTGCCTTACTTAATATAGCTAAAATTAAGCAGCCAAATAACCAAGTAAATACTTACATAATATATATTATGTACAGGTGATATGGGATAAATGGGGAACTAGCAGGACAAAAAGACGTTGCCACCCAAATGAAAAATGTCATGTAAAAATCTTTCTTATCCTTTATGCTTCAGTGGAAAATCATTCTCTTAATCTTCACTTTAAAAATCAATAAACCACCTTTGTATGTACCCGATTCTATCACTTCTTAAATAAATTTACCCTTCCCCTACCCTCATCCAATCACTACATTCTGCCCTGGAGACTACTCCCAGAAGCCACACTCAAGTGTTCTTGGATGTCCGAACCAACCAGTTCACCAAGCTTTCTTCCTTAGAGCCGGATACTGAAATCCCATCCTCTCCCAGGAAGCCTCAATTTGAAAGCCAGGTTATTTTCTTTAGCCCCACCCACAGTTTATAACTATCATACTCTATCCACATTCAACATCTTATAATAGGCACCTACTATTTTGCTCACAAGTTAATTTCATCTATTCATGTGCTTATTCAGTACATTACTCATTGCCTTTACTGGTCAGTATCAGTATCAGCCTTAAATTAAAGCTACCAGATAAAAGGCCATGTACTTAAGTTGAGTTTTGTACCGGAAATAGCAGATGCTTAATGTTTCTTGAAAATGATTTTGAATACTACATCAAATTCAACCCGATTTGAAGTGAACAGTGGAAGGTGCCACACACAACTGATCTTATACTGTATGAGTCCATTTATATGAAGTTCTAGGAAAACTGTGGTGATGAAAAGCTAATCAGTGGGAGCTGTGGGCCTCATCTTTAAAGGAATGGTAATTATTTAAAATCTCAAATATGGATCATTTCAGAATTCCTGTTGACCTTTACCTAATAAGATAAAGTAGGAATTTCCTTCCAAATAATTTACTTGATCATTTACAACCCTACTGCCATTCAATTTCCCCATTAAAAATACCTATTATCACAGAATTTTACTTTTAAGTGTTGTTACTTCCATACCCAAATTAATGTGATCCAGGCCTTAATTCAAGATTTAAAAAGGAAACTGGAATAGAAAAACAAACTACTCCTGTTAATACCATTCTATTTAATTCCCAACTATTCTCAGTCTTCACAAATGTTATTGTTGAGTACTGCTGGAACATGGCTGAATTTTAAGCTACAGTCTAGTCTCTCTATAAAGAGGCTCTTTAATTTCAAAAGTTAAAAATTACTCTAAAACCTTTTGAGGTGAAGTTCACCATTAGAGAGAACAGTCTTTTTAACTGACCATCTTTTTATCTTGGTTATTATCACTACTCGAATTCACCAATATCCCATCACCAAAAAGGCCACTGTTACCCTAATGAAGTCTTATTGACAACATAAATCAACAGGTTAAAATTACTTATCAAACTCTAGTTAAGCGATTTCTTTTTAATACAACTGATTTGAGTAAATTTCAAGAGTTGATGTTGCTCTAATGCCTTTGCCCGAACTCAAAATTTTGCAGAATGAAATGTATAGAGCATGACAATTCTTGAAAGGAAAGAGTAATTAACCCCTTTTAGGGGGATACAAGGATGTTACATAGTATAATTTAACAGTTTCATGTCGTGTCTGCTAGAGATCACAAACATACTGTCATTATGCCACCTCCTTCCTTGAACCCCACCGTCTCTTCAAGCTTTATTCTTGGCTTTTCAAAGGTTTAATCCACTCTGGGCTGAAAGGAGGAATCAAGGTAGCCTAACCTGTGGACCCTAGCTGAGAAAAGGGCAGAATATGGGGTTGACTCACGTCGTTCCGCCATTTTCTAAGCGGAGGAGGAAGACATGTTGGAACAAAAACACAACAAAAGAGCAGCCATTTCCCAAGTCAGCTCCAATAGGAGTAACCCGAACTGGCTGAGCCCGGGCACTTCGGCACCTTCAAATCCGCTCCACTGGACAAACCCAAGATCAGCAGTGCCCGGAGAAAGAAAGCAGCAGCCAACCGTTCCGCGTAGGGATCAAAGATGACCTGCATACTTAACTGCAAATCAAAGCCCCAGGAAAAGCAAGAATGACGGAAGCTAAATGGAGCACGAGTGTAACTAACTGAAATGTAAACTCAGCTGGCGACCTAAAATCGACACCCTGATTGCGGTGACTTACAGCTCACAGGAAACCCGGGTGGAAGGCACCCAGGTAACGCAAACAAGAACCGGATTCAGCTGGTCCCATTACCTGCCAGCACTCATTTTCCCATTCCGTACTTCCCGCAGCGGATCGCCTATTTGCTCATGGCTTCTTACCGTATGTGGGGGATGCCAACCCCACCTTGAAGAATCTTATAGAGTTTGCTCTCGTACAGCAACTGGGGATGCCTGGCCTTCTGAGATTCTAGCTTCACTGCCACTTCCTGCAGGGGAAAGAAGGGATGATGCCATCAACATCCCTATGGGTTCGGTGTCACTTGGGAGAGGAGGGGAGACATTTATTAGCACGGCTCAAAGTCGCGACTACAAGGAGGAAGTGAAAGGCCGGGAAGAGAAAGCTCTCTCGGTAATTAGGAAACGAGGCAGCCAGCCTCAAAGGCCTCTTCAGGGGGTAGTGACGAAATCCGCACGTCCTCGAAAGTGCAGAAAAATGGTTCATCCAGACAAAAAGTGGCAACCCTGGAACGTACTGTGAGACGTTCCGAAAGAACCAGGCAAAGAAAAAGTACTAATCGAAACAAACAACAACAACAAAAAGAAACACCCCCGAATATAAAAAAAAATAAAGAAAAATCTCGACTTAAGCGACGGTTAATAGAGAAAGTTCGACCAAGAGGCATTTTTAAGAAGCTGGGAAACTTCTTGGTTTACCCGACCTTCCCATCAGGTTTTTTTCCTTTTAGGGGAAGAGAGCGGGGGAGACTCCTAAGCTGGGAAAACTGGCTCCCTCCGGACTCCCCAGGGCGTACGTGCAGAGGGAAGAGGTCCCGAGCAGCTGGGGGGCTGGGGAGGCGGTGGGGAAGGGCGCAGCGTGATCGCGAACCCCACCCCAGGTGATTACCTCGCCGTTGGTGATGTTGATCGCCAGATAAATGTCCCCAAAGGAGCCAGACCCGATCTTCCGTACCAGTTTATATTTTCCTCCGACAATGAATTCGGCCTTGGAGCCGCTGCTGCTCGCCATCCTGAGAGACGAAGATGGAGGCTGGGGCTAAGCCCCGACACCTCTGCGGGGAGGACGGACGCCTCGGAGGCTCGTCCACTGGGTAAGGCTTCAGAAGGGGGCGCAGGAAACAGAAACCGGAGGCCTCTCCCGGCGATCCAGGGCCCAGAGCACCGCCGCTCAGTCGCGTCTCTTCCCGCCAGGCCGCAGTCTGTGAGGCCGTCCTCGCCGTAACCACACTGCCCACTTGTTCCTCGGAGGCCGCCGCGGCCTCGCTCTCGCGACGATGTCGCCGGCTGGGAGACAGGCGCGGTGAGTTAGGGTGGCGATACTGCTGCCACCACTGCCGCTGGCTCCGGCCAGAGGGACCCCTGTCACTCCGCCGACGCCGCCATCTTGTTGCTCCGGCTCCAGCCAACACAAAATGCCCCCAGTCCCCGGGAGCCGCTTCTTCACGGCGCAGAGCACTCTGGGAAAAGGATCTCGGGCGCTAGCCTCGAAGGGTCGGTAGCGAGAGAGGGCGGAACCGGATCCTGAGAGTCGCGGCCCACGCTCGGAGCGTCACCCGGGCCCCGCCCTGCTGCGCAAGTGCGCTGCAACTGCTGCTGACTGCGCAGGCGTGCCGGGCCGGCCCTCGCCCCCGCCCCCGGCGAGCTCCCACTTCCGGCCGTCCGGGTGCGCTCTGCCCACCTGTTAGTCACCTCCGACCGGTCGGGTCTTGTGAAGCTTTCGGCCCCGGGGCTCGGCAGCTTTTAGGAAGGTCACCCGGGCCCCGCCCTGCTGCGCAAGTGCGCTGCAACTGCTGCTGACTGCGCAGGCGTGCCGGGCCGGCCCTCGCCCCCGCCCCCGGCGAGCTCCCACTTCCGGCCGTCCGGGTGCGCTCTGCCCACCTGTTAGTCACCTCCGACCGGTCGGGTCTTGTGAAGCTTTCGGCCCCGGGGCTCGGCAGCTTTTAGGAAGGAGTCACCTTCGCCTTCCGTGGCGGGTGGAAGCTTCAGGCCTCTTTGTTCCTGCCTCTTTGGGAATTGGGTATTGATCTTTGCTCATTGTTTGAGGCGGTTTTTAACCTTTGATCTTCGGGCCTCTGCTCGGGACCGTCCCTTTCCAGCCCATTTTCTGTTTGGAAAGAGGCTGTTGCCTCTGGTGGAGAGAGAGAGAAAAGCAGCCACGGGCCGGGTGGGTTTGAGGCCCTCGTTTCCTTTTCTTGGCTTTCGCAGAGCCTCGTTGATTATCCGTAATGATTATTGAAGTAGTCTACGCGCTACCGACTGTTGGAGACCTTTTTTTACTGAAGCCGGAAAAAAGGGAAGCCGAGGTTACTGAGACGCCTTTAAGTGTTTGCATCGTTGCTCCGCTGATAAAATGATCTCCAAGAACAAAAGCTAACAACTAGTTCATAGTGAATATTAGTGATAGATGGGATCAGCAGAAAACAAAGTAGCAACAGTGAAAAACACTGTTGGTAAAAGTTGTGTCCCTTGTCCCCCCAAAAAAACAAACAAAAAAACGCAGAATCAAGTTGATCACGTTGCAAAGTACCGTCTTGCGGCCGGCGGCGGTGGCGTAGTGGTTAAATGCTCTAGATTCCCACAAGGCTGACAGGGGTTGGAGTCCCCGACCTGGCTGCAAGCTTTCTCGCTTTCCCTTTCTCTGTCTCTCTCTGGGCAAAAAAAAAAAAAAAAAAAAAAGAAGAAGAAGAAAGGAAGAAAAGAGAGAAAGAAAGAAAAAAGTGGTATAGGCAGCCCAAGACAGAGAGAGACAGAAAGCGAGAAATCACACACACACCCGGGGGGGGGGGGGGGGGGGATGGATACCCTGCAATCCCTTCTCCTCCATTCACCTCTTTGGATCTTCGGTTCTCGCCAGGCGGGAGTTTAAACCACCGGGTCTGGGACTTGAACCGCAGTTCACTACATGGGAGTCCAGCGACATAGCCATTACGCCAACTGCTGGTCCCCAGATTTTAAAATAATAAATAGTGGAATTAAATAAGTAATTTTTAAAAATAAGTGTCATCTTGGCAGTTGGATGGTATTTACTATCCCAATATTCCAGTTTCTAAATTTTTGTTAATATAAACAGTGTTGTGTTGCTGTAATTAAATATTTGTGCACATCCAAAATGAATTGGTTAGGACATATTTTTATATATGTTGCTGGTCTTAAAACCCTTTGTATCATAAATTACAACTTCTGGTTTTGTTTTGGTATGGTTTGGTGATTAAACCTAAATTTATGGGCTATCTGATTTTTTCACCTAAATTTATCTTTACAGAGTTAAATCCTAATCCTTTTGTTTTATCCTCTAAAGCGGTTAAGCTTTGTTTTCTGACCATTGCATTGCTGTAAAACTCAGTAAGTTTAATTTTGCAATTCCCTATTGCTCCCATCCCCAGTTTCAAAATTTCAAAAATTTTGCAAGTCTGTGGTTTATAAGGATGTGCTTCTGCTATTGAAAATGTCACTTTTATGACACAGTGAACAAGACATTTATTGACCATTAGTGACAGAACTGATTCTACAGATACTTAGTCTAAGTTGAAGGGGAGGGGATTAGTTTCGTGGAAAAAGAGGGTGGAGGTCAAACACCTCAAAATCAAGAATATAGTCAACCAAGTATGAAAAAAAGCAATCTAATACATGTTTAAATCTCATATTTTGCATGAACTGAAGTACTCCCACAAATAAATTTGTATTCTCACAGAAATAAACATGTAAGGTGTTAGAGATGGGAAAGAATTCAATTTGTTACTGTTCCAAGGTGAGATGAACCCAAACCTTCCCACAGATATCTTTCAGATGCTTGGATTTCGCATTAGAATGCACTGTCTTTGTTTTAATTTCTTCCATGAGTGAGACAGAAAGAGAGCGCAGGCAGCAGCATGGATCCCGCTTGGCCTGCAGTTTGAATCCCTTGGTGGCACACACATGCGCACTTATGTATGTCCAAGATCTCAAGAGAAAGGACAGGGGGAAGTGGGTAAAGAAAGAGATGGCACCCCAAAAAGACACTGCAGTCCACACCTAGCTTCAGCCAGCCCAGGACTGTGGGTGTACAGATGCCTAGCATACTCATGGAGGTTACCAGATGCAAAGCCGGAACCTTCCTATGTGGATCAACCTCACAAAGTCTTTAGTCTTACCACTTTGCCAGTGTCTGGCCTCTCAGCATCTCTTCTGTTAAATGGGAAAGTGTCTTTTTGGGTCCCTGTGAGTAAGACATTGCTGTCTACCTTTGAGAGTGAATAGAGGGGGCCGGCCCATGCCGTGGTCATTAAGGGCACTGGACTCCCACATGGCTGACTGTGGGTTGAGTCACGGACCTGGTGGCTTGCTTTCTCACTTTCCCTCTCTCTTCTCCCCCCCCATCCTTCTCTGGTTAAATAAAAATAAATAAATAAATAAATAGATAAATGAAGTTAAATGAAATAATTCTTTGAAGTATAGAGAACAGGGAAGTTTTTCTAACTTTAAACATAAGCCCATAACAAATGCTGGAGTAGTGGAAATTTATTTTATCCTTAAAAAATAGTTGGGAGTGTAAGACGAGAAACCAAATTATCCCTCTAGTTGGGTATTTCAGGAATAAGTTAAATGGTATAAGGAAACATATCCTCACCTAAGTAGTTAGCAAGTTCCAATTTTAGTCGTGACTGCCTTAAATATTTTCCTGGGCTTCAATGTTGTAATCTTTTAAAAGAGAAGTTAAGATTCTCAGTATATTTTCTAGCTTAATAGTACTAGTTACTGAAGATGACTCCTGTATTTCAAAGGAAGAGGAAATTAACATGTTCTTTTCCTTCTGTAACTTTTTTTTAAAGAATTATTTTAAACTTTATTTATTTATTTTAATTTGACCAGAGAGGGACGGAGCAAGAGAGAGAGAGAGTGAAAAAGCAAGCTGCCAGGTCTGGCACTCGAACCATGGTTGGCCACGTGGGAGTCCAGTACCCTCAATCACCATGCCGCTTGCCAGCCCCTCCTTGGGTAACTTTTTAAAATTCCTATGAGAACCAGACCATGGTAGTATGTGATAGAAACACATCGGAGGCCTGGGTTTGATTCCCAGCACACCCTAAAAGCTAATCTTGAAGGTGTATGCCCACTCCAGAGGCTGAGACAGGAGGATTACAACATAGGAAAACACTGTCTTAAAAAAAAAAAAAAAAAGATAATAGGTAAAATTTTGATGGGTATTTGCTCACCTATGTTCCCTCATACTTAAGGATAGGAAAATCAGATCCCCTTAACAGTGAAACATAGCTATCGACAGAAATGATAAAAGACTACCAAATCAGAAAAAGCGAGTGGGAAGTGTCTTCCTTGGCAAAGTATTTAACAAAGGCAGTAATTATATATTAATTTCGAGTATAGCTTTCCTTGAAGGTAGAGGTGGGATATCACGTAAATGACCTGTAGTCCCCTTTAAGTTGAAAAAGTCCTTGCTTAGATTTTCATAGACAGAATGAGATGATTTGACTCTTCAGCATGGTCTTGTTTTTGGCAAGGGAAGAGATTCAGCAGTGAAAATCCAGCAAAGCTTGTTTCATGCCCTGTTTAGAAAGCTATTTCCACTAACTTCCCCCCTCCCTCTCAGAGCCACTCTGAAATGATGCCTGAGGCTTTAACTCATTTGTCTGCAATGAACATTCTGCAGTGTAATAAATAAAATGCCAGAGATATGTCCTGACGAGGAGAAACTTCAAATCATTGATGTTTGGAATTTTCTATGATGTTCCACCTAACTTTGAAAACCTTACTCAGGCCAGGACTTGAGGGCCCCCGAAAAGGTGAACTGTCACATTTCTCTTGTGTCTTCTGCCCTATTCCTATTGTCTTATTCTAGTCAGTCTGACCTGGCAATACTCAGATCATGTAATTATATTTTTAAAGTTCTATTTTAATCTTGTGAACCATGAATTCCCGAAAATGTGCTGTCATGTATGACATTTTGGAAGATTCATATTAGCTATTTTTAATTGACATAATTTTATTAGTGTTTTGGAGTTTCTGCAATGTGTCTTTTTTTTTTTTTTTTTTCATGGCCCCTTTTCCTCTGCATTGTTCATTAGCAAGGGCATGAAACTGTGCTCCCTGTGAGTCATTATTACTCACTATAGTAATCTACTGTCTTTGTGAGACTAAATTTGGAAGATGCTTGAGTTGCCATTCCCGAGGAGAGCTGGTCCCAAGAACACATCCTGTTAACTCTCAAGGCTCCGGGCGAAGGCCAAGAGGCACTGATAGCTATCACAGAAAATGGAATAAGTGCTCCGTCTGATCCTGGCTAGGCCTAACATCACTGCAAGAAGACTTTCCGCAGTGAACAGAGTCAGCAATCTGATTAGGGGGAAAAAAGCAACTTTGAATTGCAAGGCCCTGACTCACAAAGTGTAAAACGTCAAATTCGATTTCTATAGCCTTTTACAGTTCACGGAATTTTTTTT